GGTCCACTGTCGATGTGTCCGTAGTCCTGAGCAGACTCTAAGGTGACTCCACCCCTCGCAGGCATTACACTTGACTGAGGTGGAGTTGTGGTGTAGTCGTCTCTGGCATACACAGCAGGTGTAGATTTCTGGCCCTGGGTTTGACTCGATGCCAGCCCTGAGTAGAAGAATACGTAGTGAATGTAGCCCTATGGACGAACAACTTCTGAGATACTTCGCCGACCTAAACGGGGTTAGATCGCCGAAACAACAGCCCTTGGTCGGGTAAAACCCGAGTCATTCCGGTACGTAGAACCGGCTGTCGTGGGAATATTCATAAGAATATGAGCGTACAGCTGTCCTACCATATGCTGCTATCACGAATGTAATAATATTGGAGCAGAGGGTATAACATCTTTACATAAAGTATTTTTCATATTTGAATAAAGACGTGGGGTGAAACCCGCGGGTAAAAGCTAGTATGGAATAAAATGTGCAGCACCATCACCAAAAAAATTTTATACCATAATTGAATGGGCTACAAAACTGCATATCCGAAATTTTTCTAAAAATATTATTAACTTATTCATTGCAGGTCATTAGAATGGCACACTCCTTTGTTGACATTTTTTAAGAGGTGTTTCCAGGTCTCAAAAAAAACCTATTGATCATATAAAATGCTGCCCAAGAAATGGAAAAGAAATTTTCGTTTTAAGTTTTAATTTGTAAAAAATTTTAAAATTGCATTTACCCGTAGAATATGCTATATTTTTACAAGAAATTAATAATAGATAAACAAAAGGCAAACTGTAAATATTAAGGATACAAATAACGAGGAGTGTATATGAGCAGAAATGATCACTATCACAAGTAAACGCCACTATTGCCGGGACTTCAAAAATAAAAAGCTAGATCGGCCAAATAAAAAAGCTAAAAAAAGCTAAATGGCCCAAAATAAAAGGTTAATAAAATTACAGTTTAAAAAACTAAAACCTCGTTATTATAATTTCCATTCGTACTGTCATCAGGTATGTAACTTGAGAATAGAAATCGCTGCATCTTTTAGGTGCATCAATATTACATAGTTACATCCCGAGCTAATAAAAGGGAGGTAAAAAAAGGCCAGTCGTTTCAACATTTCATTAACTCTTATGTACAAAGAGGTGGTACAAATGCACCACCGAGCAACAAAAATGTAAATATCTCTACAAGCAAAGTACTTACGATCATGAAATTGCATGAAAGTTGTTTAATAAAACCATTTTAATAATAAAGGGGACTCTTTTTTTAGGGTCTGAAAATCCATAGTGTTTAAAGACAAAGTAGTAGTATATTTGTACCACACATATTTCACATATTACAATGCGATTACAATCGTGAATGTTTCAATTAGAGCGCGCATAGTGAAGAGCAAACCGTATATACACGCAAATGAAGCAGGCTAAACGGCGAAGTCGATTTCTATTTGACAAACTGTTTAACTCGACACTATTCAAACATGAACCGGTACCCATATGCGACTTCTGCAGAAGAGATGTAATAGAATACGTCTTTTTTGAGTGTATGCGATTTGACAGTACTAGATGCAATCACTCGTGGAGGCTATGCTACAAAGCAGCGAAAAATGGTCGGCAGCATGTGACGCAATAGCAGAGGCGGTGAAGGGGCTAAGGACCCCTACTAACTACTTTTCTACCTCATGATGTAGTGCGACGTCATTCCCGTAGGGTCCGGAGATCTAAGAAATAACATGCTTTTCCTGGTTTTGTAGGGACACTTGAGAGCCCCTGAAAAAACTGTTAAAGTATAAACAGAACGAGTTCGCTGAGTAAATTTCGTCGGACGGAGCGATGGCGCCGGGTGAAATTCGCTTAATATTTCGTCAAGTAAAAGTGAACCGGAACAATAATTTAGTGCCACTACAAATATTGTGGAAGATTGTTCACAAATTCCCCATTTTGATACCTTGGCTGGAAAAAATGAATTTTCGAAAACTATGAATAATATTACTAGTTTAAAGGCAAATAATTTTTTCTTGTTATTTAAATTCTTAAAATTTTATATCGTTGGCTTAGTTCGCAAACGGCTAAGTCTACTTTTTATGAAAATTGAGATTTTATGCAGTAAGATAGTTTAACTCAAAATACATCATTACAAAAAAAAAGTTACTGTAATGTTGTTCTTAATGTTGTTATGCAGAGGTATGCAAATGTGCTACGTGCAAAAAAAATCATGAAAAAAATATGAAAACGTGCACACAATAACTCGAGACATCTCCACGAAATTCGGTATGTAGGTTACCCTTTATACAAGGTAGGTTGGAATTGAAATAGGCGCACTCTTCCCATATAAAGGTATTTTCGAAAAATGCAAGAACATCGATATTTAATTTATATATTGGTATGTGAAGTAGATTTTTGGTAAAAAATATTTTTATGACCCCGCCCACTTGAATGAAATGCTGTATCTCAGTAGCCCATTCACCAATCCCTACCAAACCCGGTACGAGCCTAGCTAAGAAATCTGTTGAAAATCTTTGAAATCAGGAAATTACTACGCGCATCTACCATATAACGGTAATTTACAGAAACTCGAAAACTGCGGTAAATCAATTATGTACTACTAAAGCTAATTCTCTTAAATCGGCCATTGCGTTTACCACTGAGCAGAAAATTAGATTACTCTAAATTTTTGAATAATGGGCGTGGTGCCGCCCACCTATGACCACAAATGTGTAACTCGGTAACCGATCTATCAATTTCTACCAAACTCCGTGCACTTAATTACTTTGGTAAGGAAAATCCATTCGTTGAAAATTATTCAAATCGGGCCAAAATTACACCCGCTTCCCGTATATCTAACGGTAAATTTTAGAAATACGGAAACGGGGTGGTAATTTACTCCAAGTCAATACCTACAACAATCTCTTAACAATAAATAAGACTGCTATAAACTTTTAGGAATTGGGCGTGGCACCGCCCACTTTATGACTACAAAGGTGTTTCTCGGTAACCATTTTATCGATTTCTACCAAATTTGCTTCAACTATATCATATTATCGAAAACGTTTAAAATGGGGGAAACACCCCTGTTTATCATGCAAAGGTAGTTTAGAGAAAGGTGAAATGACAATATTTGAACCCTGCGCCGGGTATACAAAGTTCGGTTTCGCCCAAACTTATACTTCTAAATTTACGACTTAAAATAGTTATTTTTGTTAACAGCAATGCAATAAAACTGTATTAGCATATTATTAATTTTAAAACAATAAAATGTATTTAAAATAAACAACTAAAGCTTTTAACAATAAAAAAAGTCCACATTAAAAGAACAAACTCATAAAGAGAAGAGGCGGTAAGTCCCAAAAGAGCCTATAAGTCTGCAACAGCTTTATTTTGAAATTGGCCGGTACTACTGGTACTGAAACAAGAGAACTAAGGAAGAAAACTGCATTTAAAGATTAGTAAAATATTAACAACATAAAGTTAGACGGTTTTTTGTCCCTCCTGAGAAAAAAATGGACTTAGCACTTTTTGCGAACTAAGCCAACGATATGTTTTTATAAGTTTGATTTGGTAACTCTTATAAGGAAATTCGACCCGGAATTTCTTTGCACACGCCGCTGTTATAGGGCTCCTACACCACACAAAAATATTGCGCAATATCGGGCTTGCGTCGCACAGTGCCGCCTAAGTGGGCAAAAATCGAAAAATTCGTTGTCTGCAATGTGAACGTGCTTGGTATTTCTGTAAAGGTAATTTATCCACTAACAAGTAAGAAAGTCTAAGTTCGGGTGGAGCCGAACATTAAATACCCGGCGCAAGTATTAAATATATGTTTTTTCACGAAAGCTACCGCTAGATTGTAAGCCGGGGTTTATCAATTTTGAGTAAATTAGCGTCCTTAAATTTCGAAATATTGCATTTTCAAGTATTTCTGAAATTCAGCGTTATATGAAAAGCGGCCGCAATTTTGTCCGATTTCAATAATTTTCAACATTTTGCTTTTATGTGGCAAGCACAATAACCATACCGAGTTTGGTACAAATTGATAGAACGGTTACTGATATACATATATGTGATCATAAGAATTGTTGCAAGCATCAATTTGGAATAAATTAGCTTTAATATTTACTGATTTATCGAAGATTTTGTATTTCTCTAAATTACCTTTATATGGGATGTGGTTATTGTCCGATTTTTTAAATTTTCAGCCATTTCATATGTTATACCAAGGCCAACAACTGTGCCGAGTTTGGAAGAAATTGGTGCAGCGGTTACCAAGATATACACATGTAACCATAAGTAGGCGGGGCTACGGCCATTTTCCAAAAATTTATAATATTATTATTTTTCGTCTGAAAATTATTGTAAATATCAATTTTGAGTGAATTATCTTCAGTAGTTACTAAAATATCGCAGTTTTCGTATTTCTGGAAATTACCGTTATATGGGAAGTGGGCGTGGTTAAAGTCCGATTTCGCCCATTTTCAATACCAACCTACCTTGGATTAAGGGAAACCTACATACCAAATTTCGTTGAGATATCTCAATTTTTGCTCGAGTTATCGTGTACACGGACAGACGGACAGACGGACAGACGGACAGACGGACGGACAGACAGACATGGCTTAATCGATTTCTTTTTTCATCCTGATCATTTATGTATACATTTGTCTATATCTATCTCGATTCGTTTTGGCTGTTACAAACAACCGTTATGTGAACAAAATTAATATACCCTTGTGCACAAGTGCGCTCGGGTATAAAAACGAAATTATCCATATGCACACTTTCGTTAGAAAACCGAAATAATGCATATAACAAAAACCGAAAAAATGCATGCATGCACAATTTCGGTTCAAAACCGAAATAATGCATATGTGAAAGACGAAGTAATGCATACATGCACAGTTTCGGATGAAAACCGAAATAATACATATGTGAAAGACGAAGGTATGCATACATGCATACTTTCGTTTCAAAAGCGAAATAATGCATATGAAAAAAAAACGAAATAAAGCATCCATGCACAGATTCAGTTGAAACCGAAATAATGTCTAAATGCACAGTTTCCATATGCGCAATTTCGGTGCCCCTTTTTGAAGTAATGCGTTTTTTGCTAATGCATAAAACCAGATTTGCACGATTCGTTCTATTTTCAAAAATGAAGTGTAGGATTAAAAATCTTGACCTGTAGACAATAGGGATTTATTATTTTTAAAGAGTTGCCACCTGTTAAAAAATTTAATTAAAATTGCTTAATAAGTTAAATGAATTATTAAGAGATGGGTATCAATCGAAATGTGTATGAAAAGGATTTAATTCTTAACTACATGTAGAGAGTTGCCACCTGTTAAAAAATCAGATTCCATTGGAATTAAAGGAATTAGGTTATTTAAATAGACAGGTATCACCATATGACAGTCAGACGAAAGAGGTTTAAGAATGTTTTAGCTTGAAAATACTAAAAAAAGGGTTGCCACCTGTTTGTAAAGTCAAATTTAGTTAAACTAAAATAATAATTGTGTCAAACCAAAGGTTTACAACATCGTTTCTGTTATTTTATTACAAATACTTACATTGTCAATCATTGATTTGTTATGATTACATTCCTTTTAATTTACTACACTCTTAAATTAACTAAGGAATGTTTTTACTTTTCACTTATTTCTTGCATAATATGACCAATTTTTATTTTGTCTGATACCCATATTGATATACATATTTCAGTTACCTTATTCCCTTAATTAAAGTCAGTTTGATTTTTTAAACATGTGGCAACCCTTCTATGTGACGTTTAAAAGTAAAGCATTTTCAAAACCATTTCAATTGATGCCCATATTGTAGTATCTAGTTCATTTAACATATTAATTAATTAAAAAAAAAAAAACTTTATTGCACATCTACAGGCCAAGCCCTGTCATTTGACACCTCACTTTTGAAAATAGAACGATCTATATGTACATACCTATGTAAATGCTACAAGAACCCGAATTTTCAACTTCAAACTGCATTTACAGTGAAAGTTAGAAAGTCATCCAAAGGTAAATTCCAATTTTGAATTTAGCGTCCTCAATTTTACTAAGAAGCGAATTTTCTTCTGATGCTTTCCATTTCCAGACAACCTGTCAGGTACGAGCATAATTATACCCGAGCGCACTTGTGCACAAGGGTATTATAACTTTGTTCACATAACGGTTGTTTGTAACAGGCAAAACGAATCGAGATAGATATAGACAAATGTATACATAAATGATCAGAATGAAAAGAGAAATCGATTAAGCGGTGACTGTCTGTCCGTCCGTCCGTCCGTCCGTCCGTCCGTCCGTCCGTCCGTCCGTCCGTCCGTCGTGAGATATCGTAACGAAACTTGGTACGTGGACTTCTTTTGGGCATAGGACGGATGGTATTGAAAATGGGCGAAATCGGACAATAACCACGCCTACCTCCCATATAACGGTAATTTTCAGAAATACGAAATGTGCGATATTTTAGTAACTACTGAAGATAATTCACTCAAAATTGATATTTACAATGAGTTTTAGACGAAAAATAAGAATATTAAAAAATTTTGGCAAATGGGCGTAGCCACGCCTACTTATGGTTACATGTGTATATCTTGGTAACCGCTGCACCAATTTCTTCCAAACTTGGCACAGTTGTTGGTCCTGCTACAACATACTAAATGGCCGAAAATTTTTAAAATCGGACAATAACCACGCCCACATCCCATATAACGGTAATTTAGAAAAATACGAAATCCTCGATAAATCAGTAAACATTAAAGCTAATTTATTCAAAATTGATGGTTGCAACAATTTTTTACCAAGAAATACGCTTATGATACAATTTTGGAAAATGGGCGTGGCACCGCCCACTTATGATCACATATATGTATCTCGCTAACCGTTCTAGCAATTTGAACCAAACTCGGTATGGTTATTGTGCTTGCCACATAAAAGCAAAGCGTTGAAAATTATTGAAATCGGACTAAAATTACGACCGCTTTTC